CGGTTCAAACCCGGCCTAAGGCACCGGTTTGAACCGGTGCTAATGTGGGGGGTGCCAAAAGTGGTTTAATAAGGCACCGGTTCAAACCGGTGCCAAAAATTGGAAATGGCACCGGTTAACCGATGCCAAAAATGGCCAACAAAAATTATTTTGTTGTTTTTGGCACTGGTTAACCGGTGCCAAAAATGCCCAAAATTTTTTTTTTGTTTTTTTTTTTGTTTTGTTTTTTCCAGCAAATTTGCAACATATCAACAAGAATCGAAAATTTGCAATATATCAACAAGAATTGAAAATTTGCGACATATCAATAAGAATCGAAAATTTGCAATATATGATAAAAAAAATTACAACATATAAAAACTTTGATTACAGCATATAAAAAAAAATTACAATATAAATTTTTTTAAAAAAATTACAATATAAATCAAAAACAAAAAATCATTCATTCTTGCATGTATCTTGCTTCTTCGATTTCAGATCTAAATAACATACCTGCACCAAATAAAACAAAAAAAAATCGATTGATATAATTAAACTTCGAAAGAAAAAGCCCAGAAATTTAATCCCAAAAATTGAAAAAAAATTCAAACCCAGAAAAAATTGAAATCGAAAAAACCCAGAAAAAAAACTTGAAATCGAAAAAAAAACCAGTTTTCGAATAAACCCAGAAAACGAAAAAAAAAATTGAAATCGAAAACACCCAGAAAAAAAAAATTAAAAATAAAAAAAACCAATGCAAAAATTAAAATTAGAATAAACCCAGAAATTGGAAAAAATTAAAATAAAAAAACCAATGCAAAAAAATTAAAATCGAATAAACCCAGAAATTGGAAAAAATTAAAAAAAAAAACCAATGCAAAAAAATTAGAAATCGAAAAAAAATTAAAATCGGTGTTCGAAAAACCCAGAAACAAAAAAAAATTGAAATCGAAAAAAAATCCGATTAAAATCTGAAAAAAAAAATCAAAATCGACTTTGATTAAAAAAAATAGATTAAAAATTCGATTCAAATTAAAATCAATTAAAATTTAAAAAAAAAACCCAAAAATTTGATTGAAATCAAAACAATAACCCATAAATTTGATTGAAATCGATCTAACCAATTACCCAGAAAAAAAAAAGAATTTAAATCGATTAAAATTTTAAAAAAATCGATTAAAAAATAAATTAAAACAAAAACCCAGAAAATTAAAACAAAACCCATAAATTCCCTCACAAATCGGTGTTGCATGTGGTCTTCAAAAACCCAGAAAATCGAGATGTTGCATGTTGCATATGGTCTTCAAAAACCCAGAAAATCGAGATGTTGCATGTGTTCTTCGTGATTGTGAGGGAGAAGGAGATCGAAAAATTAAAGAGAATTAGAAGGAGAAGAAGGAGATCGAGAAAGATAAATAGAAATAGAACTATAGAATTGAAGGAGGAGAAGAGATCGAGAATGGAGAAAGAGGAGGAGATGAGAGGAGAGAGAAAAAGGATGAGAGGAGAGAGAAAGAGAAAGAGGATGAGAGGAGTAGTTTTAGGGTTGGGGTGGATCCGTGGGTTTAAAAAGGACCGTTTTTTTTTTATGGCTCCGGTTCAAAAAGGCACCGGTTCAAACCGGTGGCCTATTTGTTTTTGGCACCGGTTTGAAGTGAACCGGTGCCTTTTACTCTGGTTCAGTTTCCCACCAATTTTGTAGGCCATTTTTGGCACCGGTTTGGATTGAACCGGTGCCAATTAGGGGGTGCCTTTTTGATATTTTCTACTAGTGGAACTAAACTGAATTTCAACGTAAGAGAACAGGCCCTTAGTATTTTAAAATATAAACCAATCCACTACATGCACACCTCTCCATTTTATTTTAATCGTATTCATGTGCGCTTTCTGACTAACATGCAATCAATAGGATTAACCCTAAACCTGTTTAATCTATGTTGGTTGAATTTAATGCACAAATAAAACTATTATTGGCGATCACTTGAGATTATAAGCACATTAACCCTAACAAGATTATTAATTATCTTATTAAGCGTGATTACAAATACCAATTCTCTTTAAACATGCATAAAAGGTGTGATCAAGCAATAAATAATAAATAATGAATAATGTATCAAGCAACATAATAATCATAATCATGAATAATAATTATAATAATCATAATAACAATCATATCATCATAAATAAAATAATCATATCAAAATAATAATAATAATAATAATATTCATAATCCTCATAAATTATAACAATTATAATCATAATCATGTTCATGTTAATATTAAAGCATAATAATAGCAAGATCCTAGGCATGATACTAACAAGATTAATAACAAACCCTAGCATGTCACTAAGCAATAAAAAATCAAATTTTTAGCCCTAACATGATACTAACAATCATAAATATTAGGAAGAACATATGAAGTATCGTAACAATCATATTAAGCATATTTGATATTATAACCTTTTCCCTAAACATGATGCTAGGTATATCATAATAACAATATAAACATGATTTCTACATCATAATATCAATTAATCAATTAAAGCACTTACTTTGATGCCTCGTACCTCTTTCTAATAACAAAATACACACGTTAGTAACTTTAAGGAAAATAATAATCAAAACAATTAAATTAAATAATGGAAAGAGAGATTTGGGACCAAACCCTCAGAAATTAAACCTTTCACGTCTAGGGCGAAGGCAACTTCGAATATGGCTAGGTGTTTTGTAGATCTTGCGAATGCGGAATTTTGTATGCAAAAGACTAGTTTAGAAAAAGAGAAAAGAAAGAATTGATGAATGAGAAGAGAATGAGAGAATTAATGATTGCGAATGAAAACTGATTGTTGATGAGAATTGGTGAATGAAAACGGAGTTTTTAATACGTTATTTATAGAATAAATCAGCCAAAAAGATAAAATATCAAAACAGAGAACTTGGCGCACGCAAAACAGAGCTGGCGCCAGCACCAACTAATTGGCGCCAGGCGCCAATGGCTAGCACAAGGCGTCAATGGCTGGCGCCAGGCGCCAAGCCTGGTTCCAGGCGCCAATGCCTGGAGTCAGGCGCGAGGCCTGTTTTTGACGCGTTTTCGAAAATCAGATAAGCTTGCCGTACTGGAGGATAAAATCGTATCTTTTCCTCAAAATTGCTATTTGATTTTAATTAAAACTCTGAAAAGTCAACAAAAGTCAATTTATCAATGCTAATTGAATTAGGAATGAAAAGAACCTTCTAGAAGAATCTAGAAGACTAAAACCATTCCTAATTGCATTAGGAATGACAAATCATATTAGCCCTCCCTAAGATCATTGGGCCGAATATAAAGCTCAAAACGGGCCCAGTTTAGTAAATTGGCCATAATTTCCTCAATATTCATCGGAATTGGGCTTATAATATATCGTTGGAAAGCTCTTGTCAAGCCCCATCCAACTACACTATTATTGGATCCTTATCATGGACCAACCAAACTGGATTGACTGTTTTCTTAAAATAAGTTTTCAAAAACAGAGAGAAGAGAAAAGAAATTAAAAGTATGTGCAACACTAGACTTTCCACACTTTCGCTTCATTCGATTATTATTCGACGTGAAAGGTACTCATTACTGGGTTTGGTTTTGGGGAGACACAAATGGGTGTCTACAGTAACTGTCTTATCCTTGTTCCTTAAGGACCTGCCAATACCAATTATGACAGTTGTGAGCTCATGATGCATGTTCTTACCCTCCTTTTTGAAGAGATACTTAATGGCTTCAACATCTGTTTCTACTTCAAGGAACTGCACTGGGAAAGCTCGAGCAAAGTTCAGGCCTTCTCTCAGAGCATACAACTCAGCCTGTAGGGAAGTCTTTGCATTGTACTTGCTTGAATAGCCAAAGTATCATTCTCTCTTTTTCAGTTCTGAAAACCCCACCACCTCCTACACCTTCTTCTTCAGCATGTTTCCAAGCCCCATTTGTGTGTAAGTTTGAGAAAACCTGCTTTTGAAGGTCTCCCTGTTAAGTGTGCTGGAAATTAAAATTTTTGAAGAAAAACTTTGTAATTTCCTATATTGATTTACAAATGTCTTCAATTTTTTGATACTAGGTATTATTTTACTATCATGTAATTAAAGAGTTTAATTTGAATGCTCTGTAATAACTTATACACTGCCCATACATGTTTGTAGTAAACAAATACTCCGTAATAACTCATATACAACCCCTTCGTATTTGTAATAACTAAGACCATCTCCAATGGTGAGACTCAAGTGAGTATTTTTAGGATAAAGAAAGTATTTTTTTTATAATGTATACCAATAAGCTGGTATCTAAACTTAGCAACTCCAAAAGAAAGTTACTAAATTAAATTTAGATACTCAACTTTGAATCTCAATTGACAAGAAATGTTGACCTTTGCCAATATTTTAAGATATTTTATAATTTATTTAAGCTTTACATTTTAATTTTAATTTTTTAATATTACAATATTTGATACTCGTATTAAAAAGAAATGAATTTGGTGAGCCATAGATTGAAAGTGACATTTGTATACTTTAGAGAATCTCACTATTGAGAAATTAGACTTCACATGAGTTGCTAAATTGATAAGTTGAGATAGTATCACCATTAAAGATTAAAAATAACTCATTTTGTACTTCAATACTCATATTTGAGTCTCACCATTAGAGATGGTGTTATACACAACCCTAGCATAAAACGTGCTCACAAAGTACTTTGAATTGAAATAATCCAAACAAAATAATTCTGACATCAGCACTCCAGCACACCCTTAAATATTAGGCGCTGGCGCTCAAAAATCAAAACCCCAAAAATACATCGTACGGAGTTTAAAAATACCAAAGGCGGAAATTTTAAAACAAAAAAAAGAAGCATCTTACAACAAACAAACTCCCACAACCGTCGATTCCATAAACAATCCAACGGCAAAGAACCACGATCCGTGTGCTTTAATCTGATTGGCTGATATTCAAACACCCAAAACAAAACCTCTATATAAACATAACAACTCCACTTAGCTCCCAAACATCCTTCATTTTCTCTCTCTTAAATTCTCCTCCTCATCTTCTTCTTCCTCTTCAACTTTCTCTCACTAGAAAAAATTCTCAGAAGCTTCAAAAATGGCAGGAAGAGGTAAAACCCTAGGTTCCGGCGCAGCGAAGAAGGCGACTTCTAGAAGCAGTAAGGCTGGTTTGCAGTTTCCGGTTGGTCGTATTGCCAGGTTTTTGAAAGCCGGGAAGTACGCCGAGCGTGTTGGTGCCGGAGCTCCGGTTTATCTTGCTGCTGTTCTTGAGTACCTTGCTGCTGAGGTATTTTCTCTCTCCTCTTTTGATTTTGAAGTTTGTTTGATTTTGTGTGTTTTTTGTGTTGATTTTGGTAATCTAGGGTTTTGATTAGCTGGTATCTTTTGAAATTGGAGTTGTTCTGGTTAATTTTGTGGTTGTTTGAATTTGAGATTTTCGATTTCTGATGTTTCTTCTATGATCTTCAAATTAGTTTAAAGTTTTATGAATTATTAGAATTTCGTGTAAATCTGGAGTTGCAATGTCTTACATTTCTCATGAAAAAGCTTAATTATACCTTTTTTGGGTTTATGATTTGAAAACAATTTTGTAGAATGTTTCATTGATTAAGCATGATTTGTATTGCTGCCTGAGATTTGTTGATTACAATGTTTAATTATTTGTTGTTTGATGGTTGAACAATTGCTGATTATTATGTTGAATTTTGTTTGGTATATAGGTTTTGGAATTGGCAGGAAATGCAGCAAGAGACAACAAGAAAACCCGAATCGTGCCAAGACACATTCAATTGGCAGTAAGGAACGATGAGGAGCTGAGCAAATTGCTCGGAGATGTGACAATTGCCAATGGTGGTGTGATGCCCAACATTCACAACCTTCTTCTCCCGAAGAAGGCCGGTAGCAACAAGCCTACCGAAGATGACAATTAAGAAATTGAGTTTGAATTCGATGATCATATGAAAGCCGGGATCTTAATAATCTCAGTTGGGAACCCGAAAAATTGTTGTCTTTGTTGGTCTTTGGATTAGATTTATAGGGTTGTAGTTAGGAGATTAGGGTTTTGCTTCATTTTGTTGTTACTTTGGGTTATGGTTAATGGTAGTTTGGGTTAATTCTAATTAATATATTAGGGGGGCTTTGGATAGATTTTACCTTCTCTAATGTGTATAATGTTCATGTTTCATGATCTTGACAATTTGAATGAAAAAACAGTGAAATTTGTGGAAATAGTTTGTGTTAAATTTATACTTCAAGTTTGGTTCTTTGCTTTTGATAGCATTTGAAAGGAAAGAATTTTGTAAATGGATGTATCCAAATTTATGTTTATCATTTACTTCATTTTGTTCATGTTTCATGATCTTTGACTATTTGAATGAAAATACTGTGAACACTCCCTATTTTTTTCTAATTTGATCACAATTCTAAATATAAAAATTATAGTTGTAATGCAGTAAAACTTTGTTCTTTGTTCTTTGTTCTTGCAGTAAAACTTGTGCAACATTTCTACTGGGTGCGTTCATCGACTTTTGCCTAATTAGCTTTCTAAATTTGTGTTCTTTTATGCAATTGATACCATCTTTGGTTATGACTTACAAAATGATCAAACAATTTTTTTAATTAGAAAGACTACTTGAGGAATTTAACTGAATGCTCCTGTAAATGGATCAAAGCGTACAATGAGGCATTTGCATGATAAAATTTACAATTCAGTTTATAATGAGAATCTTTTCTATAGTTTCAAACTGCCAGGCAATAATTGTGATCTACAGAGTCAGACAAATAGACGATCATACAAAAAATGAACTAAATTAATTAAATTAAAAATAAATTACAGGGTGAAAAAGTCGTAGCTAAGCACGAGTCACTAGGAGAATACGAGCTGAAGGTATATTTCTACAAGGGGGATCTGTGATGAACTGATGATGCATAGTTGAGGAACTGTTAACATTTTATACGCCTTAATGTCGGATCTCCTGAAAAACTCACTTCAGAAGGAGTTTGGATGATAACTGTTGATCTTCTTGACTAGGGATTCCAAATAGAAGTCCTCCTGATCCCCAGCTGAAATCTGCAAAAACACAATAAAAGACTAAAAAATGAAGTTGAAGTAGAAATTAGTTCGAATGGATTGAGAAAAATCTACATGTGTTCAAATTTAAGTCTGCACATCCTGCAAATTTACATACCTACAATTACAAGAGATACTGTGTCAGTGTGTCCTCAATCATCATCTGAACTTGTACCATCGTCCATTCGCCTCTCTACAATAGCCGGGAAAAGTTTTTGGCGAAAATCGGGAGAAAATGGTGTTCGAGGGGTTTCAGAAGACGTTTGCCTCGACGGAGGCTCTCGTTTCTTCTGATTTTTGGTAGGCCACCTCGGCTTCTCCTTCACCTCTCGGCATGCTTTGTCCAACATTATTAAGAAATCTCGGACTATAACAAACAAACGCAATCCCTCTTCCTTTCCAGAACTTCCATGAAAGTAATCAACAGTATTCTTTACAAGAGCTGTAATCCTTTTTTCATCCTCCAACAGACGAGTGATATCCCCCTCAGCAAGCTCTACAAAGCTTTTAAGGGCTCGGTGGAAACCATTATGCTCATCCACTTCTGACATTTCTTTGTTGAGAAAGTTCTTTGCTTTACGCAAAGCATTTCCAAGCTTTGTAAGGGTTCCTGTCAAAATATCTGAATCCAAACATGCTGCTTTCTTGACATTTTCTAGCTGGTCTCCTACTCCTGAAACAACCTGAAGACCAAGACTGCGATAGTGCTCCTCAGAATCATCAGGAACATCTTCCAAAAGATCTTCAGACTTAACGCTGGACATACTTTTGCTCTCTCGGGAAGCACGGGCAGCCCTCACACCTTCTGAGCGGATTATTTCCTGAACAACAAAATGGAGAAGTGTGGTCTTGCCATCTGTTCCTCTGACATCGGCCAATTTCAACAATGTATCCAGCTTAAACGCATGAGCACCACCACGATACGTTCCATCATTCATACGGTTACCAGTCTTAAGAACAGCTTCTAGAAGCTTCAGAAAAAGGCGACTATTTCTGAGTTCCTTGCAAGCAGCCTGCTCAGATATGCAAGACATGAAGATAGAATTAAAGAGTAGAATGAGCAAATAAAATCAAATTAGAGCTTATCAGGATACTCAGAGATACTGACCTCTAAAGTTATGAAGGATTCCTTCACTGATGTAGCTTCCTCTTGTAGAGTAACCATAAAAAGTAAAGTATCCATTCGCTTGAATGCGAAAGGGATGTCCACCAGAGCCTTCAAAAACCGCTCAGCTGGTCCAAGTTGAGATATTTGACCATCAAAAAGTCTCAGTTTCAGTTCTTCTTCTTGGGTTGGAGCCATTTTTAACAAAGTTTCAAGGAGTTCCGAAGGAAGCTCATTCCCTAAAAAAAGATGGCAAAATAATCAAATTTCAGCAAGTAATACATTATACATATACTGTTGCTCTTCTTTTTGAAAGTTTGGTAGCAGGGACTTTCAAGTGAATCTTTCATCAATCATAAACCATAAAAGTATGTTAGCAAATAATGCTGCTCTTGTGTTTGTTTAGAAGCCAGTAAAGGGATTTTCTATGAACAAGTTCAAACTCCTAAGAGCTATATACAAGAATTATACATATACACTGTATTTCCTAAAAGGATATTACAGGAGTTTATGACTGAGTCACGTGTTATTTTGTTGCTTAAGGCTGCATTAGCTTTTTATTAACCGAAAAATAGGGAGTGTTCTACATTCATGGAAAACAACCCTGCATAACCGTATAAGAATTATAAATACTACGTATATCAATTGAGAAAGTTTAGGTACACATGAAACATAATTTTAGGAACACATAAAACATAATACGTAGTAAATAAAAATAGAAAATAAGGTTTTAGTAGACAGTTTTAAAATAAGATGATGTGACTTAGATAAGATTACGACAAAGGCCTCCTTTAAATCAGTTTTCTCCCAGAACAATTTCTGGTACAAGTTGATTAAAGTATGATGTGGTACGAATCTTTCTAGTCAGATTTGATGGCTAAACTTTGTAAGTTTACACTAATGTAAGAACTTTTTTAACAATGCGTATATTCCAAAGACCTAATAAGAGCTTAATTTAAAATCAACAAGGCTAACAAGACAAGGCGTAATAATGCTAAGAAAAGTGTGCATGACAATGATAAGCTTGAAATTTTAACATTTCCCCCTTTCTTTAGTGAATTGCTTTATGCAAAAGTAAGTAACATCACCTTCTAGCAGAGCATCACGAACTTCTTCAGTTGTAACATTTAATGCCCGTAAAAGGATAGAAAGATTTTGTGCCTTTTTCTGATCAATAAGTTGAATAAATTGTGATGGTGGATCGCGAGAGGAAGACTCTTTCTTTTTATTATTTTTGTTCTCAGAAGCGGCAAAACCAAATAATGATTCTATCATCTCTTCATTGAACCTGTAAAGTTGATTGAAGAATTATAAACACTGCACTATCAATGATCAGGAAAATGACAAATCTATTTAAGTAGGAAACTCACTGGAAAGACCCTGATTTAAGTTGGTCCCAAACCATTGAATGTTCAGGGTTGGCTTGAACCTTGTCCCAAAAGAACGGTTTTAGCTTGGCTTTTGAAGCATCATCCCCATTAGCAGAACTGCTACCTTTGACTGCAATTGGTGGGAGTCGAGATGGTGTACTACCACCCTTTGGCGGTGGTGGTGCTTGGGGCCCAGGCTTCCCTCCACGAGCTGGTGGCGGTGGCGGAGGCCCAGGAGGAGGTGGGGCTGTTTTTTTAGGAGGGGGAGGAGGAGGAGGAGCAGCTGCTTGGGGCTTTGGAGGAGGAGGAGGAGGTGGTCCTCCTGTACTTGGACCTCGCCTCAAGGAAGCAGGGCGTTCAGGTGGCAAGGGATCTGCTCTCCCAGGGGGTGGCCTCAAAGGAGGCTTTCCAGAGGTAGGCACACCAATTCTTCCAGGAGGTGGCTTCAGCCCTGATGATACATTATTATTGCTAGACATGTTTGAAGTATCAAAGGAAGTATTTGCTGTCACGTTGTTAGCAGATTCCATTGATAACTTAACATCTGAAGAGACACCACCAATTGTACTCAAGTAAACAGAATTTCCTTTCTGAACAGAATTTTCATAAGTCCAAAACTTTGGTGAAGAACCTGAAAGATTAACGTCAAACATCAGTACATCATTAAAATTTGTAAGTTTCAACTCCAAAAAAGATATTTCAGATAACTAATACCATTAGCAGAGATGTCACTCGAGCTTAAGCTTAGAAGGGGTCTGTCATCCTTATGTTCCATTTTGGAACCTCCGCCAAAAGCTTTACGACAGCATAAAAATATGATTAAAGCAGCGAAAAATGTTACACATGCAGTAACAACAACAGCAACAACAATTGTAGTGCGGCTGTGGTCTTTGCTGCCAGTGTCTGCTGCGGAATCTGACTCAGAATGTCCACCATCTGGTGAAGATTTGGGAACAGTTATTGGAAAGGAAAAAATGTCTGGTGGAGGTGGAGCTTTGCGCTTTGGACCAGAAGGTTTAAAGCCAGAAGATTGAGGAGAAGGGGCAAAGGCAGGAGAAGGAGATGGAGATGAGGATGGAGAAGGAGAAGGAGAAGGAGATGGAGATGGAGAAGGAACTTCAGCTAAAAGCCTTCTTGAGTCGACAGTGGGCTTCAGCTTTAGGTGTACGGAATGCAGATCTTTATGAAACCAACCATCTGGACTGGCATCTTCACCGGAGATTGGGGAGATCTGAAAATTATCCCTGAAGCATTTGAAGATATTATTCTTTTTCTGTGGCTCTATAATGCTGAGAGCTTTCCGAACATTATTCTCTGTCAATGCTTGACTGTTGAGAATTTTTCCAGTTTTTGATCTTGAAGCATCTGGCTCAGTAAAACCAAGACCTTTATAAATTTGATTCACATGTATCAACTCATTCCTGCAACTAATAGCTAATACCTCCACCTGTCAGAGCACATTATCAGGTTAATATACAGTCAGGAATTGCAGTATGTAAAGGCTCATATCTTAAAATCATAGGAAGCATAAGCGTCTGACAGATGAAGCAAGCCCATTCCTCACTCCCATGGAAGATTAAAAAAAAGAGAGAGAAATATCTAGATGGGGGATATTAAAATATAAAACAGTGAATCTGAAGCCAAAGGGACACAAATGATAGCTCCTCCTAAAAAAGTACATAGAATGTAATAGGACCACAAGTAAAACCCAATTTCCCAAGAGTATGGCACAGAATCTTAGTTATCAAACTAAGAACATCAGAAAAGTAACTTAAGCAAATTCAGAATGCCTAGAACAGAACAATTTACCAAGGAAGCACAGGCAATCCGCAAGGAATTACTTCAAAAAAGATTTTCATCAAGTAACTTATAGACTTATAGTGGCCTGCAAAAAAGAATCTAGACAGATTTATTTGTATATAAGAGCTCATGTTCAGATTTCTTTAACAAAGTCAAAATTTTAATATGATAACTTATCTAGGAAACAAAATTTGAAAAGAATATTAGTTTGTTTATTTTCTATTTTTTATTGTTTAAGTGAAACTAATGGAATAAGTTTTAAAAGAGATGCAAAGATTGCCACTTTATTCTACATATGCCAGATGCTTACCATACTGATCATATATCAGATATTACTTCTTGGCCATATGCCTTAAGCACCAAAAGAAAAAGGACACAACATCCTACTGACCTGTTAATTCCTTCCTCCCCCCCCCCCTCTTGTGGTTGGAAACGAGTAAAATGGATAACGATGCCCATGACAGAAGTGAGATAGACCACTTACAAGACCGATGGGAGTTCCACCCCCTAAAACTATTGGCTGCGGGAGAATAAACTTCCTAGGCTTATGAGGTGATCATTTTCACGTCTTTTCTACTAGTAAAATGAGACCTCAATCTTGTGCACAATATACGAGGATCAACGTGATCAAAGCCAAGAAAAAGATATTTATTGAAGTTAACAACTCAAACCACCCACAAGCATTTTAGCAACTCATTCCATCAAACTCAAGCACTAGGCAAACATGACAGAGCCAACATATTTCTCTAGTGACAATGAAAGAAAGGCAGCTAAGTTCTTAATGAAATGTGATGAAAAGACCATCATTCAAAACTGCATGAGCAGAAACTAGACAACCTAACTACGCAAGTGTTAATCAACAAGCCAACAGCCATTCAACCAAGCAAAATTTCCACTAAAGATCAACCTTTATAGGTAAATATTGCTTCATTTATCTCTTAGATTCAGGTGAAAAGCTTGAGTCCTAAACTTATATTGTTAGTAGACTCAGTACACACTCTCCAGCTGCTGATCATCACACTTAAATATTAGAGGATGACATAGCCAGAGCTATTTGACCCTCCTATTCCATGATGCATAACTCCCTCTATCCCTCTAAAATTGCCTTATGTGATTACAATTAATTTTGGTGGAGTTGATGAGAAAAATTGGAGGGACCAAATCTTATGGGAGAGTAGAGCTGTGGTCTCTCATGACCATTATGGTATGGGGTGAACTTAAAGGGACAACTTTAAGGGGAACAGGAGTACAAAACAAAATCGATATGCCTGTCATGATATGCTCCAAAATCAACACCATTCTAAATTCCTCACCCCGTAGTTGTGACTTGTGAGAACAAACTCATTTTGACCTCTCAATTAATTTAGCTTTGGCAACTTCAACTCTGTTTTCCAGCTTACTAAGTACTTTGTGGTTAATACCATTATACTTTAAACATTGATTATTTTCAGATTCTTGCGATTTCTTAAGTGCAAGAACTATAAATCAGGCGTGAACTCTCTTGACAATCAGCCAATCAGGAATACTATTAGTAGCCGTGATGCAGCCCTTGCCCCGAACAACAAAGCATAAATTCACTAATTGATTTTCTAACATCATGGTCGAAGGTGCAGGATAACAAGACATTTAGTTACCACTTAGTTCGGCAGAATAGGACTGAAGCTAGCTAACAAAATTACCCATCTTTTCATCTAGTCTAATGTGAATAACATAGGGATGGACAATCCAAGTACCATCAAGATAAAGAGTGAACTCTAACCTGCTATCTTCTGGCAAACCAACATGACATTAAGCAGCCATCAAATTATAACACTATAAATGTATCACACAGAAATCAGACATTGAACAGCTCCATAAACTAATGCAGTTCATATATATGTATAAAGTTATAAACTTTGATACATCAAATTAATAAGCTCAACAATAAAAAAGACAATCACATCTCATACCAAATTTTGATCAAACTCTTCAGGAGCCGAATCGAGCTCGAAACCAGAAAGTATTTCCCGGATCACTGTCCTATCTTCCAGGGTCGTTCCCAAAAGAGACCAAAACACAAGAACAAGCACCATACAACACCCCACATCTTTTATTTGCATTTTCGGTAGCTTCACTATTCCAAACACAAAAAATACTTTTCATCTCATCAATAAAACCCAGAACCTCAAAATTTACCTGGCACTTGAATCAATAACAACATGAACCCTAAAAAAGGGATTCCAATAACTTCAGAAAAATGCAAAAAATTTCCCCCTTTTTGCAGTAGCTACAAAAATCCAAAATACCCATTTCAATTCTTAACACAAATTGCCATAAACTGTCAAATTTGAACCAATTTGACTAATTTCAAGCTGAACCTCAAACCCTAATTCCAGAAAATTTAACTTCCAGCAATACCCAATTGAGAAAATTTCAACCCAGTTGCAGAACGATCAAAATGTCCAAATTAAAACGAACCCAATTGAGAAAATCGATTGAATTCAACCTACAAGCGTTTTACTCAGCAAGAGAAAAGCGTTTGTGTTGTAAATTGTACATGCGTTATCAAGAAATTTCAAGTTGTGTTTGAGACTCAGAATTTTGAAAATTGACTGGATCTAACAATTGAAAAGAAATTGTAACGTAACTTCAGAAGGCCGAATTAATTGACCGCGTGATTGTAAAATAGGTTAACCAGAGAAGTTGTAACAATTTTCAATTTTGTTTCCCTAAAATTTAGGATATTTTGGGGGTTTTTAAATTCAAACGAGTATCTATGTTCATTCCTTAAGAAACTGAGAATAAAGGGAACAAAAACAACGCGGAAATGGCCGCCCAAATACCACCAAAGTCCCCACTTCATTCATTTTGATTTTCGGGCTTGGAACCGGTCGAGACCAAGAAATTAGTTTGACATAGATGACTCGGACTCTTGACGGAAGAGGTGTTAAAAACTAACCCGATTGACTCATTCTAATCTGACTCGAAAAACATTTGAATTTCGACTCAAATAGACACAATAATTTAGCATGTCTCAACTTTAAAATAGACTTGACTTAACTAAACCCAATACAAATACCCGAATTGATACCTCTACGATTTTAATCTTGAGTAAAGATGTTAATTTTTAACCCAAATCGTAAATTTCTTTTTGGGTAAAGATCATCTGAATGGTTTAGAGCCCCTCAATGGGGATCTGATAATTGACCAAACTATATTCAACACATATCCAAATTTGCATGAAAATCGTTGAACCGTAGACGATTCGTATCTGGAGCTGTCAAAAACTGACCCGACCCGGGAACTCGACCAGAACCGGCAATGATTTGAACCCAACTTACCTGCACCCGACCTGATCATAGCCGCCAGTCGATTTAATCCGACCAGACAACAATCCGAACCCGAACTAGTACCCGACCCAATTAGAACCAGTTATTGACCTGAGTAATGGAAGGTTTAATAAAATTTTTATATACCTTTTGTTCAGCTTATATTTTGGTACAGTTTTGTAAACCCACAACCTTAAAAACATATTGGCACAATTTGTTTAGCTTATATACCTTTTGTTCTCTATAATTTCGTATGTAGGTTTAATAAAATCTTGATAAGCTTGATCAAATTATGGAAGACGTAATTATATAGGTTCAACTTGACCACATCAATATTTATTCGAATTAAACTTGAACCAAAACCAAGAATGATCCAACTTTAAGATTATCCAACTAAATAATTATTTGACCTAACCTTAACTCGAACACGAATGTACCCTCTATTAACCCTTCCAAACCCGACTCAACACAACCTGTATTGAAATTGAGCCCGATCTGAATTTGACTCAAATCGAATCCGACCTACATCTGAAAGGGTGAACAATCCGAAACAACCTGAACCAAAATTGACCCGGCTCGAACCTAAACCTGATAAGACTAAATTGACCCAACATAACTTGATCAGTTAATCCAGATTTGACCTGAGACCCGATTTGATCCGACCCGAACTCGAGTTGAATACCCGAATTGACATCTCTACCCATATTCGATAATAATTTTAGGCCGTAAATTGTTACACACGAAGTCATGAACCATTTACAACATGTGACCATTTTAACCCAAATCGTTACTAACAAGAAACCGTTTCAACTCAAGGTTAATCCAAATAAACCGACCTGTTGCTATTCGTAACCTGTAAAGCACTGTAGCGGTGTAGCCTATGAAACATGGGTATTTGAAATTGCTGCCATACTCATACCGGACAAAAGGTACTACACCCGCACATTATGGAACCCGTATACTTTGCTATATTTGTTTTGGGTTTTTCTACACAACACCCCTACAATATTCACTTTTCCAAGCAGTGCCCACCCATTTTCAAAATTCCACGTTATAACCCCAAGATACCTTTAGCGTGTACGATGTAACCCCTCCACTAATCCTAAAGTTAATACCGTTAACTTTTGTTAAAAAAACTATTAAAAAAAAAAAAAATCCCTCCCTCTTGCAAACCCACCCACCACCAACCCTTCCCTCCTCCAAACCCACCGAACCACCCACTGAACCCCACCCCAGCCACCGGACTTCACCCAAGCCACCGCACCCACCCTACAAACCACTTAATGTGCCACCACCGCCGTTCATTGGAAAAATTCCGACCAAAATTATATGCATATTTGTGTATATTTAATCGGAAAAAACAATTAAAACAAGTTTTGTGCATTATCTTAAACTAATTGAACCAAAATTAATGAATTAACAATGAAAATCAATTTGGGGGAAAAAATTAGGGTATTCTATTGTTTTGAACCAAACTCTTTGATTTCAAAACGAAAACAACAATCAACAACTTATTAATTTTGCAATTTAAATCCAATTAAACTAAAGCCCTACACTAATTTTCTACAAAATTTTGAATAAAATTCGTCCATTCATTTGAACACTTTCTTTGGTGCGGGTGAGGCGATATGCGATGATGGGGTTGTTGGTGTGTGGCGGTTGCTAGGTGTGGCGGTTGCTGAGTGTGGTGGTGGCTAGGTACGTTAGTTAGGGTGGTGAGGGCAAGGTCGTGAGGGCTGGGTTTTAGCTAACAACAACTTAATGGCAAGGTTACACCGTACACACTTAAGGTACCTTAGGGTTACAATATAGAATTTTGAAAATGGTGGGCATAGTTTGGAAAAGTGAATACCATAAAAATATCCTTCTTCACCAAAGAGAAAACCATATCAGTAAGGCAAAATTCAGAGCAAGAATCCCCCCCCCCCCCCCCCCATAAAAAAAAAAATCAGAACAAGAATTCCAGAAAATCAGTCCAGCTTTCTCAAGAACAGTTATCCTCCTTCAACCTTATGTTTTGAACACCTGCAAAGAGAAGTGAAATTAGGAAATCTAATAAATAAAACAAATCATGTTATAATTTTTATACCATTGAAAAAAAAGGGAAAAACAGATTGACAACAGATTAAACTGACCATAATATGAAGTTAGATACTTCACATTGACAACCACAACAACTAAATTTGCAACATTCACCCATAAAACTTTTGAGCAACACTTCCCCTATTTTGCGACACACATAATCATTTTAATCAAACCCTAGCGCAATTTCTACAACAATTATCCACAATTCAACAACATCAATCACAAAGAGCAGCAATATACTACATCATAAACACAAATTATTCGAAAAAACAACAACAAATCACCATTGCAATGTCGTTTTTAACCCAAAAACCATAAACCTTAATTCGCTAAATTACACTATTCAAACACCAAAAAAAATCGAAATAAAGAATAAAACAACAAATAGATTATTGTTGATCATACATACATCAATAAAAGGCTAAGATTCTGGTCTTTTTCCCCAAATTTGGCTACAATTCAAGCCCTTTTCCTCACCCAACCATGCTAACAATTTTCAAGAAAAGGAAAAGAATAGCGAAAATGAACAGGGGAGGAAGAAGAAAGAAAGATGTATATGTTTTTTTTGCTGGACCCCACAAGTTAACTCAATTTTTAACTAAGGGTACTCAATTGTTATACCCAAATGGTGAAAAAAAAAAAAATTGAGTATTCAAACGGTTGTGTTAACTCTTAAATGGAGATAATAATAATTGTAATAAAAGCCAGAGAATCTGACCTTTGTTAATGTCTTTACAAATTACTAGGTGTCATTCATGCAATTGCAACTTTGCATACAAACCAGTTCATCTAGAATATACCACAAGATTCACTATCATCTTAACTCATGAGAAGTAACTTGAAACAAAAAAAAAAAATACCATTTAATGACTTCGTTAAGTATACTTGTAGGTGATTACCCGCACTGAAACACGTAGTAAGAGATCGAGTTTCTCATTGAGACCTGACCCAACTCGAATCTAAATTAGTCAGTACAAGGCGAGGCACTATTAAAAAAAAAAAAAAAAACATAGGTGCGTGCCGAGGAATCCAACTGGACATGTATCTTGCAATCAATCCTAGTGCAAAAGTACAGCTACATAGAAGAGGAGCACAATAAACAAATCTCCCAAAAGAATTTCCACTAAAATAAGTCATACTATATGCTAAAAATAAAGTATTCTATGATGGATACTACCTATTTAGCCATGATCTCACTAATATTTTGGTGGTGCACTAACCACTTTAGAAAGTGACTACAATAATAATGTTCTTTTTAGGCCATGAAGACAAAAGCATCTATTAGATTGATCCAAACCCTCCTTTTTTAAAAGCACTCTTAAGATGCTATAAATCAAGAGATAATACCATATCATGCTTCAATTTCTTTATTACATGATTTTCAATCGAGAAAAGTAACTGAAGATGCGAGAAGATGCCTCATCACTAACACCAAAATAAAGTCTTTGAAAAATATTCTGTTCTCACATTGTATGTTTGCTATACAGGCTTATATTCATGATGATCACATATAGCATAAGACCGCCCTTTACCATATTATTATAAAAATAATAAAAAGCTCGTAATTGTGTGCATAACAACATTGATCAAAGCCTGGATTAATTCTTAAGTTATCTTACACTCGGATGCACCTAGAGTCAGGTGCACTCGTAACCAAGGGTGTCTGTTTGCTCATCAATACTATATACTAAAAGACACACCAGCGATGACACGTGTCATCTCCTGGTGTGTCCTTAATTATTTTTTTCTTTTTAAAAAATATTTTAATTAGGGAAACAAATCATTTACAAAAATCATTTTATTTTGTACATATTCCATATTGACACGTAATACTTATTATATTTAAAATAAAAGATTTATTCGCAAATCTTTCGAATAAAAATTGGGCAATATATACCAAAAATCAATATTTTTAAATAATTAGTGACCTATTTTACAATGAAGATTTTTTTCTACTTTGTTTTAGTTGTGTATTGGAAGCTACAATTAAAATTGCAAATATCAAATTAACATATCACATACTTTTATTATTTCTTGACTAATTTATGATTATAATATTTCTCAATCAATAAAAAAAAATCAACGTGCATGGCACGGGATCTAACCTAGTTGCATCAAATTTGTTAGTGCACAAAACGATCGAGTCATATAGGCATATAGCATTATCATTAACATCATATGTATTTTTTTCAACTGATTTTTCCTTGATGAATCTTTTTCAAAGAAACCTCATGCATTATTTCAAAATAGTAAGTACAACCACTAACACATTTAGTGGCTAAAAAAAGACTTAGATTACTAGATTAACCATGAAATTTACAATATCTGCCAAGATCCAAGAATATGGTACCTTCATTGGATCCATTAAAATTCTCTACTTACTTTCAACAACAAACTGCTTTCTACAGGCAAGTGATGGTTAACGCGTGCTTATCTCCTTAAGAAATGTTTATATATAGACGGACTTAAGCAGTCTGTCTTAATTTTATGACTATAACATTAACAATTTCGACAGGTGAGACTAGAGAATCTAAGCAGAAAGAGCAAAAGAGGTCCAAATTCTAGCTTTTTTTTTTTCCTTTGAAACAGAACAATTACAAGAGGTGGAGACAGCAACATGTGAATTGTTATGCACCCTTTGAGTGTTCAAATATGGAAATGTGTGCACGTTAATCAAACCTTTAAAATCACGGCGAAAAACAAAGGGAATTTCGACTATTTCCTAGTTTTATCAGAGAGCCAGTAATACAAGTTGTGACATGCTAATGAGAGGAAATTGATGGAGAAAGAAATATTCTGTTATCTTTAAATTTCCTAAAAAGATTCTAAAGGAATTTGTTCTGTTTTTACTTTACTAAAAGATTTTCCTTCAAGACTATAAGAAGAATAAAACTAAAACTACACTCTAAAACAAAGTTAGTACCAAAATACATTACTCAAACTCAGGTTCTAACACAACTTCCTGTGATGATGGCTAGCTGCAGACAGATCGACGTTCACCTTGAAGATCGAACACCACATAAATGGATCGTTCCCCTTACAGAAGAGGTTTTCCAAGCCTTCTTATCGAAAGGAAACCAAGCAATCCGTAAAGTATTTGGTGATGGATCATTCTTTAGTCCTATGTTGTTTGGCAAGTTTTTCGATCCTTCTGACGCTTTTCCTCTGTGGGAGTTTGAGGATGATGTCTTGCTCTCTATTCTAAGAGCTTCTGGAAATAATCAGGTTGATTGGTCTCAGAATGATAAAGAGTATGTACTGAAAGCAGAATTGCCTGGTGAGTTATTTTCTGTTTTTCTGAATTTCTGAACATTTTTTCCTTGGTTGAATTTATGCCATAATTCCATTAATTGTCTAAAAGAAAACATACTGCTAACATGTAAGATAAGCTCATGTATAATTTGAACATTTTTTCCTTGGTTGAATACTTGAATTTATGCCATAATCTCATTAAATGCCTAAAAGAAAACATACTGCGAACATGTTAGATAAGATCATACAGTATATAATTTGATATTCAAATAATTAGTTGTTAATGTTATGTTAAGCTGTTAACATGTTAGATAAGATCTGCTAAAACAAAAAACTCGATTGTATAGTCGTCTATGCTTTAACTATATGAGCACAAATGGTATGCTTATGCAGGAGTAGGAGAAGATTCTGTACAGGTGTGTGTGGAGAAGGGAAAGATACTTGAAGTTAGTGGACAATGGAAGCAATCATCTGATCCTAAGGCAAGGGACTGGAAAAGTAGTCATTGGTGGGAACACGGGTTTGTTCGAAGGATTGAGTTGCCAGAGAACACAGATTGGAAGAAGCCAGAGGTAACTGTTAAAAATGACATAATATTAGAGATAAAAATACCTATGAAATCATCAACTAGTCCTACTCGTCGAGGTGATGATTCAGACTGAGAATTGCTCAGTACTTCTGTAAGTTGATGAAACACACAACACATCATGAGAAATTGAGCATAATAAGACATTTTTTTTATGGAGCCAAGAACCTTTTAGTTAAAATTATGTGTATCGATGCAATACTCACAGTTAACAGGGCCGGGGAACAGGAAACATCAGTAGGAACTCACAGAATGACAGGATGCAGAGCTGACATTCATGAAACATTAAAAAGGACTAATTCGAAACTGAATGTTATGGGTTATTTCTTTGTTTTTTGTTTTTCAGGGTAATGCAGAGAAGTTTAAAGGAAGAGTGTAGATTACAAAGGGGAAAAATGGTTCTGACTTAATCAACTTGCTTCTCAACACATCGGTGTTAGAAGTAACTAACTACAGGGAACAGAAATCTCTGAAGACGATTCCATTCATTAAGATTATATTGAACTGATAAAAACTAGATTCAAATTGCTCGAGCAACATTGCACTGCGAATCTGAGAGTGTACTGTTTCTCAGCAAAACCATTTATCCTGCAGAGTGCAGTGTCCAACTGCTGAAACTCTGAAAGTGTAACAATTTCTGCAGAAGCTCCCAAAAGAGCACAAGTACTTGGTTAGATGGCCTAGATCATTTATCATTGCAATGTAATAACTTATAACAGTGTAAACCCAAAGTTTGATCCTCGTTTCGAGGTTTATACTAGCAAGCAGAACTGCTGTTAGAAGTTTCTGTAAACATCAGGAAAAACAAACTTATGTTAAGCATACAGAGTTCTGAATTTCAGCAGACATGTAGCTGTATGTCATCAGTCTGATCACATCAGTAGCAAACAACTCGTTTGCTTCTGTTTTTTCTTTCGAATAAGGAAGAAAGACGAAAGGGAACAAGTCATAGATATTTCATTAATGTGAATACACATCTAAACCAGGAGATGTAAGCAATAAGCTCAAGGTATGCCAAATTCTGGAATGTAGGCGGCCGAAAAAAGAAACACATATATACATGACTTGTTCAAACAGATGAAGTTTCTTTGTTTCTAGGCCTTTCAGAAATCTCCTATATAATAAGTGGACTTACATTTTAAAAGTTTGCTGTTAAAGTTTTGTTCATATTCCATAAAAACCAATTTTGTAACATAATTAAAGTTCAAGTATTGTCTTGATTAATTAAAGACAAGAAAGCAAGACTAACAGTCCAACACACCAACGCAAACACCATTTTTTCCCTAAGCGTTCTTCTACATGTGCAATATAATGTAGACAAGTTTCGAACCCACGCCGAAGGTGTCAATTCTTACACTTTAGTCTTGTTTGCCAATTGGGTAATGGTTGTATTTGTGTTGCCTTTTTAATGTTGGCTCTTACTAAATATGTTCCGTAAAGTTAAACATTGGGTGGCAATTGTTTCATACAAAATAACCTTAAGGGTATAGAAAGGTAATTGATTTAACAACAACTCAATAACAACAATAAAAAAAAGCTAGTATTCAAAATCAAAAGCGAATAAATAAGTCACTTATCAAACATACCCTTTTATAACTAGCTAATCAGTAATGTGATTGTGTACTCCCAAGTGTAATAAGGCGTTATTTACTAGATAGGTTTGGCACTTTGGGACTTTGGGTATGACCAAGTGGGCAGCTAGTGGGGATTGTTTGGCACTTTGGGTTAGTGAAAGTGCAAATGTGCAATGGCACTCACTCCACTTAACTTCCTTTTTGCCCACCACGTAGCATGACTAGTATCATAGACTCATCCATAGTATGGAGGGAGACCTTAATCTCACCAATATTATGCATGGAGAAAATTGTTTATTTATAGAATGATTTGTAGCTAGTGTCATATGCTCCCTCTTTAAGATATTACATATTTTATCGAGTCATAAAAAGGTAAGCATCTTTTTCCTAGAGTTGCCGAGTTCATAATTATAAGATCCGTTATAAGATAAGTTTTAGTAAAATAAGCTCACATTTATTTTGTATTAATAACAAAATGAAAAGAAAAAAAATAAACATTATTAAAAAAATAGTAATAGTATTCGAACAAAAATGTATTACCATTATCTATTTAAAAAAAAAAATGTATTTACTATATAATTACTGGTTTTTTTTAAAGAAAATTTTAGAAAATAAATTACGTTGAAAACATTAAGTCATCAACAGGGGATGTAGCTCAGATGGTAGAGCGCTCGCTTAGCATGCGAGAGGTACGGGGATCGATACCCCGCATCTCCATTTTTGCTTCTTTTCAATGTATTTTTTCAATTCTTGTTGATAGATTTTGCGTAGGATCCCTTCTTGTCGAACTCAGATCCGTGATTCATTATCCATTCGAGCTTTGTTTGTTTGTGAGTTGTGACAACCGCTTTGTAACTAGATATACAACTCAACTTTATCAATTAATTAATAAATGTATCACAATATCGATCTTCACTGTATAGTTTAGATGTATTCATATATTCATATGATCACATATGCATGCACATGTACCCCTCAACTCTTATTACCCGACTTTTTAAAATGAAATACAGGTATATTTTTTAGTAATTGTGTCGAGTTTAAAGGTGCCATTCATATGTGGAAATTCTAACTTCACAAAGTGATTAGGGAGTGTGGTAGAGTACATGTGGATCAAACCTTCACAATTCAATTAGCAACATATACTTAATTAAGTTCCGTTAATCTTACTTTTGAGTAGGTGTATTCTTGGGTTGTTAAACTTTGCTTACATAAAAATTACTTCCATTCAACTTTGGGCCAACTTTAAGCAAACCCTTGTGTTGGTAATCATCTCCATCAACCTCTCATGGGCTTTGTTTAAACACTAATTAAGCAAACAAGCAAGAAACAAAAGATTGATTTTTTTGCTTAGAATTTAGAACAAGAAAAAACCAATAATTTAATTTATCATCATCTAATTAATGGGAAATATTAATTGTCAACTAACATTAAATATATTAATTCAATTTCTAATAAAACAAAAGGTGCAAATCATCATTTTTTCAGCTGGAATAATCATTACATACATACAAAATGTAACTTGTATATTGCTCCAAATAGCACTAAACAGCCCAAAAGTGCATATAATCATTTTTACAATAATGTTTCAATTACAGAAAAAAAATAATAAAGAGTGCATTATGTAACTAACTCCATAAACTAGAGAATCTAATTTTGTTTTATTCTTGTGGTTGCAAAACCAAGAGATGATTAAAAAAAAACTTTAGGATAAGACTTGTTTTATATTGTGTATTTGAATATTTTAGTAACTTCCCAAGTCCAATGAATAAATAAGAGTATATATTAAAATGTGAACTTAAGAAAGAAATGGTTTGGAATGGTCAACCAACCATGACTATGACTAGGTCTAACTTCTAAGGCCGGCTTCAACTTCCCAATACTTTGACAGCTACGATACAAGAGCTTGATACGTATATTTACAGTCCTTTTTAGTTTTTACGGTTTGCTTGGCTTGTGCTCCAGGCTGAACTTTTGTCAAAAATGACCCGACTTGAATTCTAAATTAGAAACTGAATTAAGTTTTGTTAACATGATTTTTAAAATTTGTTAGTGTCAAAAAATTGTATACAGATCAAAATGAATTGGTGTATGGTTAAAACGTTAGTGGAGATAAATTGTAATGGATTTTACCAATATATATACAATTAATTTCAATAGGGTTTATCCGTGAAGTAATTCAAACTAAGATTAATGATAATTGTAGGCTAGTCCATGGCCCAGCTCTCTAACTACGTATAATGCCTTTTAAAAGGATGATCAAAGCATGACCCAATAGCATATTTTGTCATGTTAAGATGTGCTTTTACGTAGAAAAAAAAAAGTGGTCCATGACTCGACACACACAAATGCACAATATTGTGTTGTTTTGTTCATACTACATTCTTATGCGTGCCATAATTTTTAAGTGGCAAGTTATATCTTATCTTATTTCAACTCAATCCAATGCCATCTTTATACAGAACAAAGGTAAAATTTCCAAATATATATACTAATATATAGGTAATTGGCCGATCGAGAAAGGGATTATAGTGGTAATATGAAGTACATTGCAATCTTTATCTACAGGATTCTAGTCGTTATACATCGCAATCTCCATCTAAGGTACGTACATGCACCTCTTGTTCCATAATGTGGTGGCACGTTACGTATTACCAGTATGCAATTAAGCATAACTCCAAAAGGTGGTCAATCAATGTGACATTGAACTAGCAAAAACCTAAGTTTAGATCTTCCGATTGAATTGGCCCCTCAATACCTAAGACAGACAAGATGTTAACGTCAAAACGACTCCCAAAAAGGTTGGTTTGATTGTGAATGCATTGATGTGAACCGTAAGAAAATTTATTTCAGATTTTTCATTAGGTAAAGAAGGTATTCGGAGAAAAAAATAGCAATAATGATAAGAGAGATTACACAATTCAAATTACTGACTTAGTACAAAATTTAAGATTATGATACAACTCTTACTACTAAATCAAATAATATATAGTAAAAACACTACAGCAAAAGGCTTTTTGGAAATTTTTTAGCTTATTGTGTCATATTAGGTCCTGTTTTGATTTTCTGAACTGAATTTAAAATAAGCTTAAGAAAACAGACCCTTACAGGTTTATTTGACTATTTATAAAAGCTAATTTGGGTGTTTGGTAAGGAGCTTTTGGGGCTCAAAAAGCTCTTTTACAAAAAATTCATTATAAGAGGTATATGAAATGAGGTTATTGAACAATTAGCTTTTTGGCTATTAAATACACTAAAACAGCTAACAATTAATAAATATTTATCAAACATTTTTACACAATCAGCTACGTAGTATTTTACAGCTAACTAGTCAAATCAGTTAATATAACCAGCTAGCCAAATCAACTAATACAACAAATTATATCAATCAGTTACCAGCTAAATATCAAACGGGGCCTTAAAATCATATGCTAATCAAATTGGTGCGACTGATTCAGGGTAAAGGGAGTAGTAAAAGCGAGGAGTACATGGAAAACAACTCAATTAATCATATGCCTTTGATACCCTTTTTATAACAATGATTCACTGCAACACGTTTGGCATAAATAAGGAGAGAGAAAGGTGAAGAAGAAGCTACACAAAAAAGGAAAAGAGAAAAGATTGATAAATTAGTAGCAAGAATGCAACAAAGCACCAAATGACGAATTGAAGTACCAACTTTCTAATTTTGAGCAAAATTAAAAGTGGATGCTTACATAGTTCACATGTTTGTTAGCCTTACCAAATAGAGGCTTACAGGATTAGAGGAGAAAGTGCTGTAAAAGATTTCTTATAATCAAAGATTAAGATATATATATAATTAATATGCTTTCAATAATTAATTTTGGGTGTTTTGGAGTTGTAAATTAAAAGTGGTAGTGTACTAACTTTGATGCCTAAGACCTTGG